GTGGGATAGGATGGGACACCTCGAAAGGCTGTGACATTAATTTATTTAGTACAGGATACGAATTGGCTTCCAGCCACAGACGAGACGATAGCCTGGAGTCCATCCTGCAACAATTGGACAACAAAATTAGGGTAGCTTGTAATTCAGCCTTTCCACGTAGGAGACTGCCCCCCCATGGGAAACCTCCTGCGTATTGGTGGAATGCTGACATTGCCAAGCGGAAAGAAAGAAGCTAAGATAGTACTAATTAAGAAGGGAGGCAAGCCGGTGGAAAATCCATCGTCTTACCGATCAATATGTCTCTTGAACGAGATGGGTAAGATAATGGAAAGGCTATTGGTAAGAATACTTGAAATGTGGGTGGCTGGAAATGGGGACCTTTCTCCAAATCAATTTGGGTTCAGGAAAGGTCGATCAACCATTGACGCAATACGGATAGTAAATCAAACAGCTCTTTCCGCAATAAATGCTTACAAGTGTTGTGTGGCCGTCAGTTTAGATATCAAGAACGCTTTTAATTCAATTAGTTGGGAGCATATTAGACGTGCTCTAATAAATTGACAGGTGCCACCATACCCATTGAGAATCCTAGGCAGCTACTTCTCGGACAGACGGGGTTCTATCTGCTGCCCTTCTGGTGGACAAAAGATTAGCATAGATGTTACTTGTGGTGTCCCTCGGGGGTCGGTGCTAGGGCCCCTGTTATGAAAATTGACATACAATTCAGTACTGACCAAACATATGCCGCAAGGGTCAAGCGTTCTTGGATTTGCGGATGACACACACGTTGGTCATGGCGGTAGCAGACTCAACAGTTGATGTGGAGACCGTAATTAATGATGCAATCGTAACGGTCACGGAGGAGATCGGGCGACTAGGACTTGAATTATCAGTTGGGAAAACCGAGGCAGTAATGTTTAGAAGAAAATATAAAGACGCGACTCCGTCGGTAAGGATAGGAAACGTGGAGGTGCCGGTAGCACAGTCAATGAACTACCTAGGTTTTATTATTGATAGAGACCTTATGTTCGCCCCTCACTTGGAAAGAGCTGCGGAGAGAGCTTCGTCTATGGCAACAGTTTTAATGAGGCTTATGCCGAACGTTGGTGGACCAAAGCAAAAGCGCAGAATGCTTTTGAGCTCTGTAGTACATTCTGTTCTTCTATATGGCGCCCCAATATGGGCCAATATATTGATTTACAGGAAGAAGAGTTTGGATGTCATTAGTAGAGTGCAGCGGAGGATGCTATTGGGATGTGTTAGTGCTTACCGCACGGTAAGTTACACATCTATTAATATTTTGGCAGGAGTACCACCGATACAATTATTAGCAGAGGAGAGAGCGTAAATGTTTGACATGAGCAGAAGCAACCTTAGCTGTGAGGAACAATGGAGGAAAAAGATTGAACTAAAAAACAGAACATTGGATAAATGGAAATGCATAATCAACGATGCGGAAACTGGAGAATGAACTCGGCGTTTGGTATTGGATGTGGATAGGTGGATCAACCGTAGACACGGTTTAATGGACTTCCATCTTACGTAATTATTTACTGGACATGGATGTTTTGGTGGGTATCTGTGTAAGATCAAAAAGGAGGCGGACGGAAGGTGCTGGAGTTGTGGGAATGATATGGACAGTGCAGAACATACTCTGTTCCAATGTAAAGCCTGGGAGCTTCAGAGGTCGGAGCTAAATACGATAATTGGAACTGTTAGCATCAAGTCACTTGTACATAAAATGCTGGAAGGAACGGAAGGATGGAGGGCGGTGCAGAACTTTGCCAACAACGTAATGAAGATGAAGGAAGAGGAGGAAAGAGCAAGACAGCGGCACAGCCTTGGAGTAGGACGTCGGGATCTGTGATCCGGTCCGTTATTGAAGTCAACCAGCAGGTATAAGACTGTGGCAATCGAATTGTAGTTGTTATTGTATCAAGACAAGAAATATTATTGCTATTAAGATCGATGTTTATTATAGGTTAAGATATTGTTGTAATGATAAAGATTGTAAGATGTTGCTAATTGTAGATTATTGTATTACGATATCAAGATTGATGCTTATTGTATTTTAGGTTAAGAAATATTGTTGTTCTAATGTTAATGTTTTTCTGAATAAACGGCACCAGGTGGCCCGGGGGAAGTAATGCTTAACGGCGAGTTCCCCCCGGGTCATCTATGGGTGCACACGCACTTGAAAAAAAAAAAAAAAGATGTCAATATCCTCTCTGAGAGAGGCTTAGGAAGGAAATCGGATAGCGATGCGAATAAGGAAGTAGTCATAAGGAGGATGATTTATTTATAAAAAGAAGACAGCATAGGAAAAGAAATTTATTTTCTACTCTTTCCATTCTAATAATATCTTTAACAAGTTAAGAGTGCCATACCACAACCCCATACTCTATAGATAGAGAACACGTTGACAGAAGGGAGAGGAGAAGATCGAAGTATTTCTTTTAATAAAGCTTAATACTTTTAGGGCTCTAACAATAATGTTATTCATATGCAAATCAAAGGAAAGAGAAGGAGAGTAGTAAATGCTGAGGTCTTTGATAACGGAAACACGGTTGAAAGTTGAGTCTTCGAGGGAGTATGAGTAATGTAGTTGGGAGAATTTACGAGAAAATGACATTACATGACATTTGTTGGTATTAAGAGATAGGTTGAGCTCCTTGGCTTAAATGGAGAAGGTATCGAGGTCTGATTGAAGGAGTAAACAGTCGGATGGTGAGTTTATGTTGAGAAAAAGTTTGATGTCGTCGGCAAAAAAAAGTATTTTAGAGCTTAAGAGAAAATCGGGAAGGGAGTTGACATAGAAGATGAACAAGAGAGGGCTGAGATGACTACCTTGAGGAACGCCGGAAGGTATGTTGCAAAGATTAAAAAGCATACCATTAATTGAAGCGAATTGCCTTCTGGAGTCTATATTAGATGACAACTATGAGAAAAGTGGATTGCTAAAACCATGGTTATCTAATATTTTAATAAGAGTACCGTGATCAACCGTATCAAAGACTTTTTTAAAATCAGTAAATATTACGTCAACCTGCGAACCGGTTTCAATATTATCTAAGATATAAGTAGAAAAGACGAGACTGCTTGTTACTGATGATTTCCCAGGACGAAAGCTATGTTGGCTGTTACTGAGAATGTGGTTAATACTTCTCTTAATAGAGGAAAAAACCAGGGATACAAAAATTTTAGCTATATGAGGGAGAATGGATATAGGTTTGTAGTTTGTAATGCCGGATGGATCACTGGATTTAAGGATTAGGGTTATAGAGCAAACTTTCCAAACAGTAGGAAAAACTCCCTTATTTAGGGAACATTTAAAGAGGAGGAAAAGTGGTTGGGTTAGGGAGTTACGACATCTATAAAGTAAACGGGCCGAAATATTATCAAGACCATTTGAGTGGTTGTTTTTAAGGTTTTATGAGCGTAGAGGACATCAAATACTGAAAAAGAGCAGTTTGAAGGAAGATTATATTGGTAATTTTTGGTAACTTCAGAAGTAAAAATAAGAGTGGAAAAAGTATTTGGGGATTTAAAAATTGAGAAGAAGAATTTAGAAAATAGATTATCATTGTTAAATGGTGAATTTGATACTTCATCAAAAAGATGAATAGTGGAAGGAATATGTGAGTGTTGTTTAAGGTCTCTAGTGTATTTCTAGAATAGGGAGGGGTTAGTGGAGAGAGAGCGCTCAGTGTCATTGATGTAAGAACGGTAGTTACTGAGGGATAATTGTTTACATTTGGCTCGTAGAGAAAACGGAATAGTCAGAAGGCAGATTTATTTTTTTAAACTATTTATGTGCATATTTATTTTTTTGTTTATTAGGGACTTTAAAGAAGGTGATGCCCAACGGGGGAAATCGGGGCTTCTAAAGGTCTTTCTAGGAATGAAATTCTGAATAGCGTAGAATAAATCTCCCAATTGAAGGAGTTAATGAATTTGGAAATAGAGGAATAAATACCAGTTTAAAGTCAAAATAAGAATGTGAAGAATTTAATTTAGGTAGTTTAGGATAATGGTATTGGATACAAAAAGGAGATTGGTAAAGATTGGGTTTGATGAGAGGCGATGTAATGATATACATATATCATTACTTTTAACATAAATTCTTGAAAAACATTTGCTATAGGTCAAACTAACAGACAAAATATGCCAAAATTTACAAAAAACCGAATTATATCGATCATTTAGCTCTGGTTTTGACAAATTAAAAATTGTTGACCTATTATTTTACTTCGATGTTTAACTGATACCAATTCCGTCGGCTTGAAAGAAGATAGTGCAAAGATCTTTTCAAATATTAAAATAATCTTTAACTAGGGTTCTATCAAAGGATATTATCATTTCTCAAGTTATTGTAAATGAGAAGCTGTATCAAATATCAAATTTGCTAATTGTGCCTTTTGCGTGTATATAAACTATTAAATAATAATAATAATAATAATAAGATGATTAGCTGAGAACGTTGAGAACCACTACCTTAGATGTACTTAGATCAATAATATATAAAAAATATATGTTAAGCTAATTTTAGTAATAATAAGAAATTAAATAACCTTTTCAAATACCTAAAAAATCATTCAGTACATGGAATAATTAGCTTTACCATATCCCATACAATATAGTATTATTACAATTTTAATTCATAATACACATCTTCTTGATTACGCAGTAATAAACTTTAATTAACAAAAAATAAAAATAAAATTTTCATCTATAGAGTAAGAAACACTTACGACAAAAGGACTGGTCAAAAAACAACGAAATAATATAAAGTGTTTTCTTAATTATTCGTAAATTGAGTATACGATTATGTGTTAAAGCATTATGCTATCAATAGTAAAAAAATTTGGAAGTGAAGACTAATTCATAGTAAGAACATGACGATAAAAGTTACGTTTATGTAACTCTTATCGTTGCGAATTAATTTATTTTAATAATTATAAACTAATTTTAAATTATTTCCAGAAAAATATAATTATTACCGTGAACATCAATAACAATTAATGCGCATACAGTTTGCCTTTCTCCTTTACTAAGATTCCCACGTACTAATCTGACCATATCTTCAATTTGTTGATTACTTTGGTCAAAATAAACCTAATTTATAGTAAAAATATAGAATGGTTATTGCTTTAATTATTTTTTATTTGTTTTTACAGCTAATGTTTTTCGACTAATAGCATTTTCAACTTCAGCTGTCCAATTTATAGTAGCAGCACATAATACAACCATTCCAGGCCACATAAGAACCCATTTATCACGTTGTGAAAATTGATATTCTCTAGTTGCATTACTTATTATCTCACTAATCGATTGTATCATAAAAGTTTCAACTTGAATTAACCATTTTTCAACTAGACCCTAATGAAGTAAATTTTAGTTTAGTAGAAATATATGTTGTCTCATATAGTTACTTTAGCATCTGCTGGATAAATTATTCCATTAAAGCCAACAATCTCGCCATCTTCTGATATCATACCAACAATTTCAACATTCTTAGAAAAGTTCAATTTCGCTATACCTTCGAAACATTTTGAAAGGTGTGGTTGCACTCTTAAAGGATCTTTAGTTTCTGATAATATTTCAAGCAACTCGTCATTGGATAAAAAGAAAAATCTATATTTATATCAAATTTTTTATTTTTAAAGAAACACATTATAATTAATCAATATTTGATAATAATTATTGATAAAAATCATTTAATTAAAAGATTTTACATAATTTCAATACCTGACAACCCACCAATATAGCCTTAAACATAAATGAAACCGAAACTTATTGATATAACAAAATAACGACAACAATAAAATCATAACTAGAATACAGCTTTCGCTAAAACTATTTGATTTGTTATCTAATGTAATTGAATAAGTCAATACAAAAAACTTATTGTAAATTTTAAGTACAGAGATTGTATTAAAGGTGAGGTGATGCTTATATGCAAAATAAATATAGTTTAAAAAACTAAAAAAACAAGCTTTAAGCACATCGAACCAAAAAATTAAAAATAGTTTTTAACATAAACTTAAAACATATTAATGTTAAAAGTTAATCTATTTATTTATGCTCCTTTTTAAATTAATTAATATCAAGATTTCATTCGTCGTGTTTTGATTGGTGGTGTTTTTCTTCATAATTAGTCCTTGTTTTAAGCTTGTGAGTCGTTGGAGGTTATAGTTCTTCTAGTTCATCAAATTTACTTCAAAGTTTGTAAGGTTACTCAGCTCAACAACAAATTGTAAGATCTCTTCCTTAACAATAAGAATTAAAACAGCTGTTTTAGCCTTGTGCTAATCAATTTTGTTGGAGATTTAAACGCCCGTATATAAAATTAAGTAAATTTTATATGCTTCTTTTGATTTGCTATAATGACGGAAATTTCTAAAAGTTCTAAAATAATTTGGCTTGGTAAACGTCGTCTTGGAATTGATCGTCCAATTAAAATTATATGTGATGCCAAAGAGACAGTAACACGCCTACTTATTAAATTAAACTCTCATAAAAGTTCTGGTAACCACTTTTTTTGGTAATTTTCGTTTTGTACGCGATAAAACTCTTATGCAACGTCAATCGCTACGCTCCTGTAATGAAGAATTGGACATGAGAACTTGTAATGATGAATCAAACTTGAAAATTGTATATATTTACGGTGAACCAAAAGTTGGAACTTCTCTCCCAAAAAATGGAAGAAGTCGACTACAAACATCTCAAGCATAACTAATTCGTCTACCAGATTACCCGTCACTGGGTTCTATCAAAATTGCCGTGTCTTTCGATCAAAACTTAGTAATTTTAAATGTTATGTTTCTTCTATTAATTGTTTGTTTGTAGTGTTAACTGAAACATGGTTAACTGATGGTATACATTATAATGAACTAGGTATGGTTAACTATAATTTATTCCGTTTTGATAGATGTATTCAGAGTAGTACTTATTGACATAAGAAAATATATTCCCTTGTCTCGTTTAACTATTCCTTTTAATAATGCCGAACAAATATTTGTTCAGTTCTCAATTGGTTCAGATAAATTTATAATTGGAAGTATTTATATTCCTCCTAATTCCTGTTCTAGTATTTATGATACCCATGCACATACTTAGGAGACCATTTTTCAGAAATACCCAAGCTATACTTACATTCTTTGTAGAGACTACAATTTTCCTAAAATTACCTGGGATAATAATGATATTGGTTTACTATACACATATACTTCAACTACTCGTGCTCCTAGTAATCCTGAAACCTTTATAACCCTCAATTTTTTTCAAAAAAATAATAATTATAACAAACATGGCTCAAGAATTCACTTGTGTTTTGCAATAACAGTAGTCTCGTACTAGATATGTCTCGTGAGCCTTTAGTGTCTCTTTATTCATTTCATCCTGCCTTAAGTATCTCCTTGCCTTCTTGTTTTATTTAACTTCCTGTCATCGCACTAAAGAATTTTTTAATTTCATAAAATCTGATTTCCCTAGTATTTGCTCATTCATTGCCCAGTTTGATAGGCATGCCACCTTGCTGAGCTACGATGCTGACTGTGCTATGAACTTGTTGTATGATGCACTGCATCGTTCTATTATTGATTTTGTTCTTAAGTCTATCTTTCGTGAATCTACTTATCCAATTTGATTTTTCAAAGACCTAAAGAAGATCTTATTCAAAAAGAACAAGCTCACTTTATTTACAAATCATTTCCTAGTGTAGATAATTTTCATATTTACGCGCTAAATTTAAATTTGAATCCGAAAAAGCTTCATCAATTATATGTCAAAAAAATTGAATCATCGTTTAAAAATAACCCACGTAATTTTTGGAAATTTGTAAATAATAGTAATCATTCAAAAAACATCCCAAAAGGATTATCCTATAATGACGTAACTTCATCAAACGATCAAGAAACGGCCGAATTGTTTGCCTCCTATTTTTCTTCAGTATACTTCTCCACTAATTTTGAAATTGATACTGATCAATTGGGTTAAGAGATTTTTGATTTGCCAAATAACATTAACCTCAGTTTTGAGGACATTTGTGACAGTCTTAAAGCTTTATTTGGGGATTGGTCTGTTGGCTCCGATGGACTCTGTAGTGAATTCATTTATCAATTGAAACACTATATTTCTTACCCACTATGGCTCATTTTTAGAAGATCTTTGGATGATGGAGTTTACCCATTAATCTTAAAATTCAGCTCCATCTCCCCTATCCCTAAAACTGGCTGCCCCTCGGTTATTTCAAGTTACAGACCATTTTCCATTCAGTCACATATCTCCAAGATTTTTGAAAAAATTATCTTAAGTAATCTGCAACCTTCCGTCAGCAATGTAATTATTGAAGAACAACATGCTTTTTCCCGGCCCCTTCAACTACTACTTGCAATCTTTTATTTACAAATTATGTTTTTAATGCATTCCCGCAACAATCACAGGTTTATGTCTTATATACAGACTTTGAAAAGGCGTTTAATTCAATAAGCCATGAAATATTACTTGCGGTCCTTAAAAAAACAGGTTTTGGTGAACCCCTTTTAGGTTGGTTTCGCTCCTGTCTTCTTAATAGATACCAATGGGTTAAAGTACATAGTACTAAGTCTGACTTATTTTTAGCCTCATCGGGAGTTCCTCAAGGGGGGCATCTGTCTCCCCTTTTATTCTCTGTTTTTATAAATGGAATTAGCCGTACTCTTCTCAACTGCAAGTTGCTTTGTTTCGTAGATGAAATAAAGCTTTTTTTTGCAAATTAATACGCAGGAAGATTGTATTAAGTTTCAGCATGACTTAGATCGGTTTACAACATGGTTTGAGGCGGTGGGCTTGTCACTAAATATTTCTAAATGTCAAGTTATGTCTTTCACTCGCTCTAAATCTCCCATAATACATTAATTTTTATCGGCGATTCTAACTTTACTCGTGTTTATGACACAGTTATAGATCTTGGCATTAAGTTTAATGCTTTTTTAGATCCTCGACCCCATATTGATATGATTTTTTGTAAGACGCTTAAGGTTCTCGGTTTTATAATGAGGATAGCTTCTGACTTTAAACTTAAATTAGTAATAAAAACACTATTTTGGGCGTTAGTTCGTCCTATTTTAAAATATGGTGCTATCATCTGGAATCCACATACAGCCAACGACGCTTGTTTAGTTGAAAGAGTACAACGTAGGTTTTTGCGGTTTGCTGGTTTTGTATTAGATATTCTTCATCTCCAACATGAATACTCACCTATTGCGGAATATTTTAATCTTCCTTTACTTGCTGATCGCCGAAAGGTACTAAATTCTTAAAAAATTTGTTTCGTGGTAACGTTGACTCTCCATCGCTTTTAGCGCTAATTAATTTTAAAGTTACCCAGAGAAAATCCAGAAATCAAGCTCCCTTCTTCATATCTATTAGTTTCGATGCGAAGCTGAGAATGTATTGGTTTTACTATGATGTGTATTTTTTTGTGTCTATTACCACTTTTTCTCACAGAACCGATTTCTTTCAATGATACATCAAAAGATCACAAATCGTATTTAGTCGAAGACATTACCCTCAAAAATTGAAAAAATTGTCCCTCGTTCACCGTAAATGGGGGAAAACTCCAAAAAAATTACAAATTTAAAAATCACTAATTTTCAAAATATTTTCAATTTTTTTTTTTATAAAACTGTCTTTTCTTAAAACTTTTTTAAAAATAACTAAATCAATATAATTTTTTTTGATAAATTTGACTCTTTACCTGTCCAGAAGGGGGTGTAGTAATTAGATGAGGAAGTATTGAACTACATCGATTTTAGTATAATATAAGCTTTACAATAGTAGTAAGCAATTTTTGAACTCTTAAGCAATATAATAATTCCATATAAAAGGGAAAATGCAGGGTAAGCAAATTAATAATGGTGGGAAAAAGAATATAAAAGGGAAACATGAAAAGTATAGGGGGACGATACTGGGCGAGACGAGACTGGACGTTTTGTCGAAGAAACGTCGAGTTACGGGTTAGGTCGTTGTTGTAGGAGTAACTTTATATTTTTGTAAGATTTAAATCATTTTTGTGTTAAATTTTTATATTAGCTTCGATGCGAAGCTGAGAAGGTATTGGTTTTACTAAAATGTGTTTATTTTTTTATTTTTTTTTTTATGTGTCTGTTACCACTTTTTCTCAGCNTTTTTTTTTTTTGTGTCTGTTACCACTTTTTCTCAGCTCTCACCGAACCGATTTCTTTCAATGATACGTCAAAAGATCACAAATCGTATCTAGTCGAAGACATTACCCTCAAAAATTGAAAAAAATTCCCTCGTTCCCCGTAAATGGGGGAAACCTCCAAAAAAATTACAAATTTAAAAATCGCTAATTTTCAAAATTTTTTCAATTTTTTTTACTTAAAATTGCTATAACTTTTTTAAAAATAACCGAATCAATATAATTTTTTTTTTATATAGCTGCATGATATCATTACCTTTCATTTGGTATATTTTTTTTTTATATGTGACCCTTTACTTGCCCACAAGGGGGGATTTAAAATGAAAACTTTTTCACAAAAAATTAATTTTTTCAAATTGATTTTTGAAAATGTTCCGGAAAGTCTGACACTTTTATATATATCTTAAATTAAAGTTAATGTAATATCCTT